TACACTCTAGTCTGCAAACATTTCAGTTTATGCCAAAGGCTTCCCATACCTCTCATCGAGTTCTTGCAGGCGGCTCTTGACTGTATGAGCATTATTCTCTCTCGTCAGCCTCTGCAGGAGGAAGAAGGTCTGCTGGAACATGCGCAGCAGGTACTCTTCAAAATCCACTGGAACACAGTTCTTTGACACGAGCTCATTGACACACGTCATGGCGTATACACCGAGCCGGGCGCGATCCACCTTGTTTCCCTCACTCTGCTGTCCGTTTCGCCCTCCTCCATTCGATGCTGGTGGCATTGTCCCCGGATTAAGCTGACCATTAGAGCAGGAGTTTGAGGAGATGAAGGATCCCGGCTTGGCCTTTGTCCGAAGATCACAACCAAAGCGTGCAAAATGAAAAATGGATGCCAGTAGGGTGGGTGTGATGCTTGTGGACAAAGGGATCCAGCTGAACAGGTGAGCCAAACACTCCAAAACAAGACAACAGAGCTGCTGACTCTCATTGTCCAGTGCTGCCATGGGCTGGCAGAGCAGCTTTGAGTACTGACTGCCCTGAAACAAACTGCCCAGCAATTCCACTGATGGGATTGAAGAGAAAAAAAGGCCTGGTTAAGATTTAACAAACCGCTCGTAAAATGTTTGCAGTAGTTAATAAAACAAATATACAAACCAGCACAAACAATTCAATCATTGTTGCCACATTACAAGCAAGTGCAGTTCTATCTTACAAAGGAATAATTCACTCACCACTTTCCCCTGAGGTGGGCGAGGGAGGAGGGGTGGAGGCGATGACACTGTGCTTGTCCCAATAGGTCTCCAGAATACCTAAAAAACAAGACGTGACACGAACCCAATTACCAACACACACTGAAGGTTTTCAACCAAAACTATTTGTTTGGACTGGCAGTCCAGTTTGATAATTGTATTCAGCTTATCCTCAACAAGCACTGTTAACTCACTCAGAACTTCAGTTACATACACCCATGTGCATGTGTTATTATTATATTATTAACCGACCAGAAATAAAAAAAGAACAAAATGCACATGGGGAAATCCCTTTTGAATAAAGTTTTAAAGTTGTTCTCACCCGTCAAGAGTCCAAGCACGGTCGGTACCTGCTCCAACAGAAGTTTCCGCAACTCATCTTTCCTGGCGACACTAAGGTCTTCTCGAGGACATGCAAGTTCCTCTGAAGTGGTTTTCAACATAACCAAGCCCAGCGAAGCCAGAGATGGAGACTGGATCAACTGTGGTGGCAAGAGATTAACAGACATTAGCTCTATCAATAACGATTATAGAATCGGGGTAGAACATTCACAAAACATTACGAACATATTTACACTACACAGGACCAGTCAGCTGGGATTTTACTCTCAGGCCAACCCATTCCTCCAAAAAGGAAGAGGAACTTCTAATGTGGACGGTTATCTTTTTTGATTTTCTAACGTGTTCACTTCCATCCAGTTTAAATACATTTCAAAGACGTGCAGACAGATAAAGGAACACTTGTTCTCAAAGAACAACTGTTTAGTCCTACAGAAGCTATGATTCAGTGGCCTTGTTGTTTTAATGTAACTCTTTTTAAAAGTATTTAAGAACCAATCCAAAGGCTTCTACTTGTAAATGTACACTGAACATTTCAAAAGATGGAGCTTCTTTGGTCGAGCTTACCTGGAGAGTGTTTGTAAAGAAATCGTGGTAAAACATTGGCCAATCTTGGCGACCAATGTCCACAATTACTTTGCAGAGTTTGTTCCGGATGAAAAACGGCACCAATTTGTGCTGAGCGAGTAGGAGTTTGGGCAGACAGCTGCGAATCTCCATCTTGTCTTGTGAAGCAACCCCGATCCACATCTTGTTCACCAGGTTCTGAAAGTAAAACATCAGCAGTCAAAGCAGTCTCTGAAAGAGACAGTCTATACAGACAGTATTTTGTTACAGTTGTCGATAATCCGTTGAATGATGAATCATTTAATAAAAAAAGAATAGTAGCCACTGATTTATTTTTATTTATTAATCACTTTGCACTACAAAACTAATGCTTCAAATGAAACATATTCATTTGTGCATTACAGAAGTTGGAAATGTATCACTAGGGGCCATAGAATGTCACAGGATGAAATGAGGAAACAAGTGCCTGTGAAACAATAACCATCTTTGTATACTTTCTTATTTTCAAAGTATAAAAACCGCTCGGGGGCTCCAGGCAACACAACCGAAAATACGTATCTTCAACCACAAGGACTTACTTCAAACACTGTGAGGCTGTACATCATCACATACTCATTCCGAGTATTGGAGAGAAAGAACAAGCAGTGGCGCCATGCTCCGGTCTGCTGTGCAAAGTTATTGAGCAGCTCTTCTGCAGAAAAAAAAGGAAGTAGGTATGAGAGACGAACATGAAGTAGTTCACTTACAGACCGTCTAAACGGAATGCGCCACAACACAGGAAGTGCAAAAAAAGCACCGCAAAAATAACTTGCATAGTGTATAAAAAGCACATAACTTCGGGTCACAACACTGTACGCTACGCCTTTGTTACAGTTTACTGCAGTATACCGAACACAGTATATGCGTCAATTCCAAATATAATTTGGGGGGAAAAAACGTAACCATTTGACGAGGTTTTACAAAGCCACACTCACCAATTTCTCTCTTTCGTTCATTGGTTGTGCAGCTATGAAAGAACTCCGTCATAAGGCTCTCCAGTGCGCGCAGTGAGGACTCCTCTGAAGCCTGTTGGATGACAAAAAAAGGTTGCGCATAAAAGACACATTTAGACCAACGTGCAAGATCCAAACCACTAAATGCTAATATTCAGTCAGTCGTATGGTGTCCGTACCTACACACAGCTATGGCTGGTCAATAAAGACTTATTGTTGCTTATGCACGGTCATTGTCTCAGGAATACATAATTCATGCAGCGTGACAATTTTACAGTCCACCACTGCAATCTGATTATTCTCAAATAGACAAGTTTAGCATTAAGGATTAAATGTGAATTCCAGCCTTGGTCAAGACAGGTCAAATCTACTTGTAATTTAAACAGTTGCATGACACCAATAGCAGGCTTTGTTAGGTGGGAGAGGCAGGGCCCTGCCTAGCACAAACAAGATAGCAAATTGAGATTTGAAGGAGCAGCTCCTGTGGCAGGCAGGTCCGAATTCCTCATATAAGCTACAACTTGCAAAGGCTCAACACTACTCGCAGTAAATGTTCTGTTTTGCAAGATGGGCGTCTGGTGGCGTGAAATGGCTTAAACGAGCTGTCACATCCCGTGAAACAACGTTGGCCGGCCTCTCATAAACCGTTACACGACACGGAGGACAGTAATAACTACAATCATGCACTATTAACTACGCCGCAAACAATTAAGAGCACTATAAACACAACGTCGGATATTGCTTTTTTCAAATATATGAATCAAAAATCGCGTGCACCCACGTTAGCTACTAGCGAGCAAGGTAGGAAGACAAAGTGAACAACTAGCACAGGTAAACGTTAAATAATAATCTTAAATTGTATACTCACCATGTTTGGCTGGCTCAGATGCTTTCTTCAGTCTACTTGTTCTCGGATTGATTACAGTAATAGGAAAACATGAGCCCTGCGGCTCGTCAGTTCTGTAGCTAACGTTAGCTAAGGTGTTGCTGGCTAACGTAACCGCAGATGGTGCTCATGATGGTATGTTCTCTTTGCGAAGGTCGATCCTCAACACACGACTAGACTGTAACGGTTCTTGTTGACTTAATTTACGACGACATCGGGTCGATATTACCGTGCAAAAATAAAACGTGTTTTCACCAAAGTTACCAAGTTGACGTTAGGCTTAAGACTGAAACATCCAACGTTCACGTTATCTAATGTTACTGTTGGGTCAGTTATCTGCGTTGTCGGTTGACTCCATTTCCCGTTCAGTTAAATGTGAAATCAGTTTTTTTTGTGGAACCATCTAACGCCAGTTAAACCTGGAGAAACGTGCAACGTTAATTAGCTTTCTGTGTCAAGCGGTTCGAGCTAAGTTATCCAGCTGCTAACGTTGCAGCGGATGGCTAACTCGCTAGCGTCCCTGGAAGGATGAAGACATACTTTTGGTGTTAGCTAGCTGTCAAACGGACGTTCTCCTGTGGCGGTTGGTCACGACAACTTGCGTTTACCGGTTGTAATTTCAAAGCGAGTGGCAATGCACACTTGGGTCATATATATGACGAATAATAAAACATATGCAACGTTAAGCGCGCTTGTTCCTGTTATTTCCTTTCTCAATGCTTGGGGCGGAGTACAGCTAGCTCGCTGGTTACAGGGTTGGCTTCGCAACTTCCTCTTTTGCTGTCAGAGTAAAACAAACCAATCAGCTCGTGTGAAATCAGTCACAAGAATAAAAGCACGATATCCGTTGTACATTTTTTGAAATTGCCGCATTTTTGGGAGAAATACTGAAAGTTTTTTACGGAAATCGTGAATCTAAATTCAAAATATAAGCGGCAACACAAAAAACACTTTGTTTTAACTGAAACAGTTGCTTAGTTAAAAACAAATGTACATTGTATATTTAGGTTTATAAATTATTATCCATAAAAATGTAAAATGCTCATATATTATTGTTTTTTTGTGGAAAACGGTCCGTCAAAACATATTCATTAGGGGACCCTCTAAGCATTATTACACAATTTGATGAACTCTGCACCTCCAGGAACATTTCGATTTGTCTCCCCTTTTGGCCATTTCATATTCACAACATAGAGTAATTATTACTATTTATTAAAAACAATATATTAAAAACACAATTTATGAAATCAATGAAACGTTTAGTCACTTCAGCCAATATCGAATTTTAGCCAAAATGAACCAATGCTACATTACCTAAATTAAAGTGACAAATTAAGAGTACAGGACATGATGCATGAGTAGGGCAATGTATAATACATCATTGTTTTTTATTGTTGATTAAACCTTGACAACAAGGGAAAAACAAAAAAAATCAAGAAAAAGGGAAACGGTTATGGTTATTGTATGTACTCTTTATTCACAATTTCACTTAATCTGTTTGTGAGATTGATGAAAACAATAGTCACCGTTCACATCCGGAGCCTCGAGAGATACAGTCCAGACTTGTTGAGATGAAAACATTTCCACAGCACTAAGTCCCTTTGACCATCACACAAGAGAATTAAAATTTTGTCTTCACCTTACCTGTAGAAAATTAGCTGCATCATAGAATCCAAAATTTCCACATTAGTTGTTTAACTATATATAGACATGTATAAGAAATATTAAAGTGATAATAATAATATAATAATTATGACTCAAATCAATAAACACTTAAAATAATAATTTAAAATAATGTTCAGTTTTGTGACATAAACTGAACAAAGTATACAATATCATAGATGATAGGATATATTTAAATTCTCTCCCCCAGGCAGGTAATACCTAACAGATTTACAGTGCTCTCAAGGAAAACATTTGTTCAAACGTGGTTCAAACTTTGATAAAATTAAAAATTACAACTGACAAGTTGAGTTAGGTTAAATATTCTTAGTTTTTAAGAAAATAGTATTTACATCCCCTTAGCAGGATTGATGATTAAATGTTGCCATAATAAAGTGCAAAAGACTGAAAACATCCATGGTTCTTCAAGTGGATCCTTTCTCCTTGGTAAGTTCATTGTTGAGGTTGCTATCCGTGAGCGTGTCATTTTTCTTTAAGGTGTGCTGCCTTTGTGCCTGCATGCTATACGCCCAGGCTCTGTTCACACCATGCCCCTCAATCCTGCAGGGTGTCCAGTCAGGGAAGGGAAAACGACCAGCTACCACTAAAGCATCATCAGAAAGCTCATTCTGCAACTTCTTCTGCAGCAAGGAAAGCTAGGAACACACAGGAACAATACAAAAATCATCTCATTTAACTTTTTATAGGCTTAATTTAGTAAATATTCCTGCATTTTTGCTGAGCTGTGTGCTAAATTGAGATGGTCTTTATATTAGTTTATATCGATTGATCATATTACTCACCACACTAGGAGCCAAAAATACTGTGATATTCTTGCATTCCGTCAAGTCGACCTGTTATGAGATAGAAGGTAAGTTTCTGGAAAGTCACTCCATTTACAATTCATCTTCATCAAACATAACTACAACTATCACACATTTTTTTTCTGGTACTATTCTAATGGAAGAATAAAGTCAACCTAAGTAACTAAGGTATATAGTAATCTAACGGAGGTAACCATGCGTGTTAGGCCGATCCCCATACATATTTGCTAATTTGCTAATGTTATTGCGAAGACAAATTACAGCACTGTAATACAACCTTGACATTTAATGGTGGCGTAGCAACTGTTTGCACATTCAAACAGGAGTGTCACTTATGCCATGCTACAAGTGATGAATGTCAAACCTTCCAGAGATCTTCCCGTCGGTACGACACTGCATCGTGATGGCCTGCTCTCCAGGCATGGAAGTTGGCCAAGCGAACCAGCCAAGGGTTGAGCTCATAGCCAACAGCAGGAGTGAAACCCTGGCGATGTGCTTCCAGAACCTTGGGAGTTGAAAATGACCACGGTGAAAAAGAAATGCCAACCGCCACAAGAAAAGGGAGCCAAAATAACTTGCATATACTTACAATGCGGCCATCACCAGATCCCAAATCCACAAGGCCTCCCTTTCGACCTTTGAACAATGACATTACATGATCTACTTGTGCTTTGCTGGCAGGAATGTACGGGACCTGGAAGGATTAAAAAGATCGTAATATATAAAAAACAACCGAGCTACACAGTTATTCAAAGTGTAATGGGAATGAAGATCATACCTGTAGCCTCAAAGGGACTTTTCGGAAGCCCGGCTGGAGGATTCCCACCCATACGGCATACACGGTGAGCCCAGTGCCGACAGCTATCTGAGCAACACCCCATCCTCCAAGGGGCTTTGTCTTGAACTCAGCTAAGGCCTCATTGGGCGCATCATCATCATCCATTCCTGCATGACATTTGTAGTTTGGGGTTCAAGTTAATCTAACTCTAGACAGGGTAATATGTCTTATCTTTTTTGTTGTATGACATTGTATATTCTATGGCAGAGGGGCGTGGCCTTGAAAAAATAAATATATAATCTCATTAGATGCATAGTACTACCGTGTCAGGCTCAGTGATTGCAGGCTATACCTTCAATTATAAAACAATTACCTCCAATTATTACAAAGCAATGCCACTTGTTGCGTTTTGCCCTCTACCCCCAGTTTGCCTTGTTGGGTGATCACATTTCGCCCCATACCGGTGTAGTGACATTTGATAAAAAACAATGTCTAATCTAGGAGATAAACCAAAACAATGAACTGATGAAATCATTTAAAAAGCTGTATTAACCATGAGCCATTGTGTTGCAGCCTACACATAGAAGCTAACATAACGTTACTTTGCTAGGATTGTTTTTTTCGGGTATCGGTTACAATGATTATTTTAGGTCCCCTTCGGGTCGCGTGCCGCAGGTTGAGGGTCACACGGACGCTGTTTTTTATTTTGAATCTAGACGTCATCCGACTGATTACAGTAATAACACGTTTATTAACAAGACCACAATGACGCCGTACTTGTAGATAAACAAGCTGCAGGCAATATAGTAATTAACAAAGATATTTCTCATTGACCTGAAGCAGTGCGCGAGGACCACGGACGCAATAAGGGAACGGAACAGACTGTCCGGTCCGTCTGTGAAATGCTCCGTATATCCAAGAGCGGTGTTACATTCGTTCCGCACACATTCCCGAAAGCAACAGTATACAAATGGTGCCGCTCTCCTCAGCATTTCTCAAACGATTAGAGCTTTACAATTGTATCAGTACAAATGTATAACTTCTGGACCTAGTAATTACTTCCTATGTGTTTGTTGCCTGATTTATATACAGTTTAGTAAAATTGACACTTAATGCGTTGATTCCCTGGTTAGAATAAAATAGTTGTTCCATAATATCACAACCTTTATTTAAATATAAAATTAACACACATTTTTACAGACTGTTAAAGACATACAATGGAATGATATCAAAACAATTTATACATCAAAGTTGAACAAAGCGAAGGTCAATATAGAAAAGGGATCAAGCCAAATCAGTTCTGTCAGTTGCTGTCTGCATCATCACTGATGATGCCCTGCAGGTTGGCCCAGTCTGTTGCTCTCCTCCGCGCTCTGTGTGTATTGTTTTCCTCGTCACTATCAGAGGCAGAGTTCAGAGAGCGCACATATGTGGAAGACGGAGGGCTACGTTGTTCCTGCCATGCCGATGATCCTCTGCGTGTCGGTCGACCTGGGAGATTTCCAAATGATCTTAATCAATATTTTAATTGAATCTATATCATTTTTCATCTACATGTCAACAGTTCTGTATCTCACCAAAATATAATGACACAAATCAGTAATTGAAAATATAAATTTATCACTGTGGCAACTATGTTGATATTTACAGACAATGCATCATTGACAATGCTATCATTTCCCCACCAATATCCTGGAATGGCCAAACTCAATGTATTCAGCAGGCTCATCAATCAAACCAGAGACCCCCACTGACTGATACCCCATCCTGCACGCAAGACCATTTTTCCAGAAAACTGGAAAAATCACATTGGATGGGGATCAAAACTTAAGAAACAAAATAACTTGTTACCTTTTGTGGCAATGATGTTGTTGACGTCGAGCTCAGCGAGTTCCTGAGATTCTTCTCTTTTCAGTCTGACTTTTTTGCATTTCATAATAGATGGCTGACCTGTGAGAGAAGACACACGCTATCACTAACCAATGGTTCCCTGTCCGAAACAAATTGTGTCAATTCTAAAAGAAAGTTTCTAATATTACCCACGGATGACACGCTGCAGCTTTAAAAACGAGCAAAACACTTTTCTTTTGGACACATCCATTACTATTTTTAACAACCAATAAAAAACATTTGACTGTATGATAGAAATTAAGACAAATGTAGAAAGTGAGACAACGAGGACAAACCAGAGGTAATCTGGGTGCTTGCTATAGCAGACACTGCAAAAGTCAAGATAATTTTGTGTACGTTGCGTGTGAAATTCCACAACAGAACAGAAGGATTTAGTTTTCTGGAGGCCACGAGGATCCCCTTTACTCTTCATAACTTGCATGATACAAATAATGGAAAAAATGTAATAACGCGTGAACTGTGGTGTCTGTTGAAAGGTGAACGTATCCCACACTGACCATCGACACCAAGACCTTCAAGCTCCTTCTTCAAAACAGCCACCTGGGAGCGAACAGAGCGGCATCCGTCGAGGAGCTTCTTGTAATTTAGCCTCACACCACATAGAGAAATGTACCGCTTGAGCCTCACAACAGTTTTGTTGTCATCCTGCAGGATGAATGAGAGGAAAGACAATTTGTTAACATTAACCTGACAATAACATACACAATTGTTATGTCGATCGCTTCTTTTTCTCAAAGGGTGAGCTAATTTAGAGGCACATTTACTTAACATAAAGAGTCAGGATAAAGCGTTGGACAGGGCTCATTAAATGTTTACAAAGCTTGATAACATCACTCAGACGCTCACCTTTTGACTCTTCTCTTTTTTCTGCTCTTTCTTTGAGGTTCTCTTCTTTTCATCATCTTGTGTTTTCTCTTGTGTTTTTCCTTTTTCACTTTGCGGTTCATCTTCCAACGAGGGAAGTGACGAGGAATCTGAGTCAGAGTTGTTTTTCTTGTGTTCCACTGAGGTTTTTTCTTCTGCAAAACACAACAATAAGTCAACAAGTGAGTGAGGAACGGGAAAATAATGAAAATTGAGTACAGGATGTGCAAGTAAAAAGTCACCTTTCCCACTGTGGTCTGAGGAGTCGTCGTCGTGGATATTGTCCTGCTTTTCTGACTCGCTATCCAGGTCAGTTTTATTCGCTTTATTGCTCTGTGGAGTTTTCTTTACAGGACTTGAATTGCTGCTTCTTTTCTCTCCATTCTGTGTTGCATTTGTTCTCTTCTTTACCATTTCCTTTGGATCTTCCTCAACGTCACTCTCGTCACTCTTGCTGTCTTTCGATCTATTCATTTCCTCATCTGTGGAGTCTTCACTGCTTAGCTGTTGTTCAATGTTTGCATTCGTCTTTCGCCGTTTTTTTTGGACCACTTGCTCTTCATCCTCAGATACAGAATTAATTTGCTCCTCTTCCTCACTCTCACTTCCTGTTTTGGAGTTGTCCTTTTCCACTGAGTCTGTCATCAACCGCACAAGAAAAAAATATCAGAAATGTTTATTTTCCATGAATGTTGGACATACAAGCATATTGTCATGGTGGGTGATGCGTATTAACTTAACATTTATAAAATAAAATAAAATTCAAATAAAAACTGACTTACTGGTGTGCTCTTAATCAGGGCAACCAATTATAGAAGAAAATGCAGATTAATCGATGATAAGTACAATAATGTCTTGCAGCCCGTGTCCTACTGTTGATGATGGTTCAGGACATTTTTCATTGAGCAACTTCAAGGAAAAACTTACTGTGAAAGACCAAAGCTACATGCATCTAAACACATTAAATAAATACATAAAATAAAATAAAAATCTACCTGATGAGGAGTTTAACTGACGACGGGATTTCTTTGCTGTGGACTCGTCATCTTCTTCTTCCCCACTTAGCATTTCGTCACTTTCTTTTTCTCTCTTCCTTTTGTTTGGGGGCTTTATGCTGGTCTCCAACTCACTTTCATTTTCGTCATTGTCCTGGCAGAGAAAAAAAAAATGACTGTAATTATATAACTAAAAATTACCCCTTGAAATAAATCTTGAACACTTGAAGAAACAAACTTTGCAGGACAAATTCGGATACCTGCATCTTCATCAGTTCCTCTTCAACCACACATTTCATGATACTTCTGGCTTCTGGAGATAATTTTTCACATCGCACATGTGCCAGATATCGTTTTTTTAAAATCCCAAAGGTCAGCTTGCTGCAATAAGTGATAATAAAGATCAGATAAAAATAGGATTATTTACAGCAACATGCATAAATTAGAGTGCATTTTTGAACACAGACCATACTGAAAACACACATCTGAAAATAATATAGATTTTATTGATTTCTAATACAGTGAAGACCGTAAAAGACAAACCATAACATTTTAGACTGCGTAAGGTCACTTTCAAGTAAACCAGATTGCTCCATTAGAAACTTTTTTAAAAATGTACAACCATCTTGTTAGAGCAATGCAAGTAAAGTCCTATCTGTGCAAAACAAATATTTAGCAGAAAATAATTTATTGTGACTGTAATTCCCTGTTTTGAACATAATAACAAGAGCTAACAAGTTTTGGCAGTATCAGTTGTTGCAGTGAGCCTGCTTTCCTCTAAGAATCTTTTCCAAACAGGGTTGATTCAGACTTGATACGGCCTCCAATTCACGCTCAATGTTGAGCTTGGATCTGTATTTTGTTTTAGAGAGAGGCAACAGCAGCCTGTGTACTTTTCACTTTTGCAATATGGGAACTTCTAGATATAGTTCTTAAAATAAAATTCACAATCTCCCCAAGCCCCCACACTTTAATACCACCCTGACCCACCAGAGAGTCGCGCCCCACAGTTTGAGAAACCCTGACTTTAGCAACATGGACCCCCTGTCATCGACACACACACACACACACACCTGTGTAACGTCACTTATTCTCGGCACAACCAACACTTCGCCGAACACCTCCTGGAGGTTTAAACAGTACCTGAGGTCCGGCTCATCGCGCAGCTCCGCGCACACAAACTTGCGTATCGTCTTCGCCTCTTTCTTTGACGCCATGCTCGCGGGTGGCTTCTTAAAGCAGTTTTTGGCGGCATCTGAACGACAGGACGTTGCCGGATGTGACATTCGAAACACAATGCGCAGCGCCCTACCAAAATAAAAGAGCACCGCACGTATGTAAGAAAAAGGAATGACATTATTATTTTATTTTTTTACAACTGACTCCTTTAATACAAAAATTCAACGAAACGATGGAAACGGGGAAGATCCTGGATATTTTGGTTTGGTAAATAATATATATATATATATATATATATATATATATATATATATATATATATTATATATGGTTTTCTCAAAGATGCCCTGTATCTAGTCTTGTATTCAATGATCAACATATTTAAAAACTAAAATGTCATAGCAACAAAGCATATTTACACAACTATTAAAATTTCTGAAAATATCTATAAATTCAATGTGTTGATGAGCAGTGAATAGTCAATCCTTGAATCCATGAGTTTCTGCATATACAGTGTAGTAATGTTGAATAACATCCAAATAATTATTGCCACTTAATTAAGCATCTGTTAAGAGACAAACTTTAAAGATTTTAGAACTTCACAAGGAGCTATAAAATCTCATAGTTTAAATACAGGTATTAAACATCCTGTTGCCACCATCCATTAGTTATGTCAATAAATATGCATTGGAGTCATTCTTTTGCACTTTAGTAAATCAATCAAATGAGCTACAGTTTGATTTCACCAACAATTTATTCAGAACATTCCCATGACCACAACAGGACGGAAGTCATATTAGTGCATATTTTAAGGAATTCTAAAAGGTGATATTATTAAGGATCTGAGACATATTGCTCTCATTCAATGTGCCCCCCCACCCCAATATTCAGAATTAAGTTTACTCAAAACACGGGTGACTACCAAAAACAAATGTGTACACTCTCCCAGGGGCAATACAAAAAAAAAATGAATTGCCTTTATCATCACCATATGGCCAAATACCTGCAGTAGATTTCAGTGGTTCAGTATAAAACGTAAAGCAAAAGTGAAATGATCATGGCTCAGAATAAAACACAATATCAAAGAAATGATCATGGTTCCTCATGAAACTGAAATGTAAGTACACTATCTAGTCGTTTACAGGAGTAAATTCAAAATCTGGTGTGAGCTATAGAGTGCATCATATCGTTCCAACATTTTAACTCACTTAAGCACTAGTTAACACAAAGATTGCATACAATACAAAAGTTAAATAGGAAACAATAAATTAGGTTCATAAATTAATGAATAAAAACATCTTGAAAGAAACAGCAGTAATAATTTAAATAAAGAAAATGGAGCTGCTCAACAATCTCATTCATAGACAACCTTCCTTAGATGGCTACACAGTTTTATTCCAGTGTTAACATATCTAGTCTAAACCGGCCTCTGTTAATTACGACCAGGCAGAAAATCAGTTCAACTTAAGAATAGACAGACTGATATTGTTTCCTATAGGTCAAACAGAGGAGGAGGCCAGTGCATATCATGAACACCCACCAGCAGGTGGGATTGGGGGATGGCCTTTTGGGCCCATTCGGTAACATACAGGAAGTTCCTTAACAAATGAAAAGCAACATCTATGCCAGTTTAATTTCCCAGGTAAATTTACACATTTCCTATATAAATAATGTACACAATTTGTTTCCTTGCCAACAGGAGCTTTTGTCATGTCCAAACAGCTCCTACTTCAGTTACAGATCATCAACCCCTACATTTCTGTGCAGTGACATGTCAAGATATTTTAATGACTACGGAGAGAGTTCTGATCAAGCACATCTTTCATTCCAGCAATCAAGACAAAATGAACACACATAAATTCACTCTCCCAAGACTTATGTTTCACATTATTAGTCCTTGTACACGGTTTGTTGACCGGGTCCTCTTTCATCGTGCATAATATGCCTCCTTACATGGATCCGTCTTACTCGCCTGTCGCCCCCAGAAGCACCTTCTTCCTCGGCTCCCAGGGAAGAACCTGAGCCCCTCGAATCTAAAAGGTGCAGGCCTCCTGGACCAGATCCCCTTCCATTCTCGTAAATGAGGATATTGAGGGTCTCTTCAAAGATTCGGGCCTCTGGAAACTCAACCTAAAAACAAAAATCAGTAACATTTAGCCCGAAAAACAAACTCAGTAGAAATAATAAATTAATACATTTTAAATAAAACAATGCAAACAACAAGGTAAAAAAAGTCCTTCCACATTAGGAAAACAACACTTTCTGGCACAGAGTTAGAGGAATACTGCTCTCGAGCGGTCGGTTAGGGTTAGTGGTCCAAGGACTTTGTATATATACGCTATGTCGTGCTTACTTTGGTCTGCTTCTTCTCTGTGGCGTAGACGATGGAAGTGCAGCATACTTCAGCAATCTTGCGCCCTTCACCATAAAAAGACCAACAGCAGATCTCATCCCCGAGCACATCTTTGACGAACACGACGCGGCCATTAAATCGTAGCACCAGTTTGTCAAACAGTTCAATGTTCTTCAGCAGGTTATCATCAGAGTTGCTGTTCACAGGGGAGAGACAGCAAGGAGGTAAATATAAAGTGAGACGATTCATTTTCCATCAAATTCCAAGCGTTGAAGATAAAAAGGGACGGTCAAATAAAACACTGATAGTTCTGAGAGCATTGGGCAGTAAGACGAACAATCAGCCGTAGATATTTTTACCTGGTGTAGGAGTATTTGTTGTTTCCTCGATTGTTCTGCAACTTTACCACCGGCTGTAGAAACAAATCCATGTATCTATTATTTTTATTAGATAATGGAACATAGATACAATTTAAGGGATTCTTGATACAAAAAGAAAAAAAAGACAGATATGAACACTTCAGGGTTTTATTTGACTGATAAAATGCTCTTTACCTTTCTACAAGTGGCGATCATCTTCTGTTCTTCTTTGGCTGAGGTGATCATAGGGATGCGACACACAGTTTCAAAGACATCCTTTTGTTTCTAAAGGTAAACAAAAAGGAAATATATTAAAATACATCTGCAACGCTTGTTTGTACCCATCAATTAATCAACTTTAAGGATTCTTGTTTAGTCTTCCAAATAGCTGTTCACCTGCATGGCGCCGAGGCAGTGCTGGACCAGTCCCTGGACCTGATAGTACTGGGCCTCCTTGAGAACCTCCTCCAGTTCTCTGTGGTCCTCTGGGAGTGGCACTGATCCGTCTCGCAGGAAGTTCAAAACAAGTTCAAAATGTCGGCCGCATCTGTCCAAAACTACCCAACCTGTGGCCACAGGATAAATCACGTTCAGGTTATTGGCAATTACTTTTTGTTGCAGACAAATAGCTCCAGTCTGCACTCATTTACTATGGAAACAGCTACAATAGAAACAGATTTGAAATGCAACCAGTAATATGGGACACATAAGACTAAGTTGATAATGACAGTCTTAGCAGACAAACTGCAGCATGGGCAAGTAAAACATGTTTTTGACAAATCTGGTTTGATTCTACAAAACTGTGCCCCAAGTAGGAACCTTGTTGACCAAGGTAACAAATGTTGCAGTGACCCTCCATCATGTTTTACCTCTGAATAATATGCACTATGATTAAAGTGTTAGGTTTAAAAGGTAACTCAGATTTTCTTTATGTATTAATATAAAACTAAAACTTGGCACCTGAAATATGTAAGTTGATGGTAGGCATAAGGAATTATATAGCATACTTTGAACATTCCTGATATCAATGATGCAGCCTTCAAGACATTCAACAACAACAAGGTGGATCCAGTAACAATGTTCATGCTCAGACAGACGGACTCATTCGCTCACCTTCTGAATCAATGGAAACCTCCGTTCCTCCATTGCATATGCTCCTCAGCAGACTGTCCTCCTTGCTTAACGTTTGAACGGTTGTATAGTGCAGTGAGCCGCCCACGTTTAATTTGACATATTTGCTCCCGAGAAGACCGTGATTCCTAAACTCATCCGTGTTGTGGAAGGCAGGCTGGGAAACAGCAGACTGGGCCGAGTCAGCAGCATGACCGCCTACCGAAGCCTCAGCAGACATGGAGCTCAAGAGTCACTTCCTGGCTGCGGAACAGAAGAACACAACGGCTTAGAAGTAAAGGTTTGGACGAGAACAAGTCAGGAAGGATTATGGATTTAATGAAATAGTTCGTTGTCCTTATTTCAGTGTTGACAACGAGTGGGTAAAACCATTTAATTAACTGCACCGTATAATGGATTACGGATGTAGATATTTGTCTTGTGGAAAAACAAAGTTTGACATATTTATGGCTAAAGAATGGCAAAACAGACTATAAAATAGAGTAAGTCATTATAATGACAATATGTGAGCAAGAAATCCAGAGATCACCACACTTCCTTTGCTAGTACGACGGTCTGTTCACCTTCATGGAAATTCAGCTATTTTCGTGTCCGCACAGACAATAAAATGTGAAGTGATTCTGAATGGATAATAGATGATGCGATTACAATTAAACTAACTTGTAATGATTTAGTCCTCGTCGGTGCCGAGCTGTTGACACCTCATCGTACTGGAATGAATGACACTCTGTTTCGGAACAGCCACTATTGTTTAACGTGTAACCCACAAACATGAGCAGTTTACACCCACAGCTGGAAATCATCGGGCTATCAACGTAAGCAACAACAAGGCCGGCTATTAGAAACACGACTGATATCTATTGCATTGTTGATAGATGCTATCAGATCAGGCTAAGGCATTCACATAGGATGGAGTTTACATTTTACTTGTGACAAAAAAAAATGTACTCACCACACTGAACATCCAGGAGTTCAACCTAGCTAACGTTGGCCCAAGAGAGCTACACGTGCACTCGTTAAATCTTCTAGCAATCGATCCTCAGCTAGCCAACTAACATTGATACGGCTAACGTTTGACAACTCATTTTAATCGCAGCCAGCCCAGCTAACGTTAGCTAAATCCAAGAGGCTAACAATGGCTAATCGTTTTAGCTACGCCTTAAGCTACGACTGCTCATTTGTTTTGAATCGTTTCTTGGGGGAACAGCGTGAAACTTGCCCTCAAATAACGCCAAGCGCCTTTGTAAGAACAGCCAGTTCCATTGCAGGAGATAAAGAGAGTTAACTGGTGGTAATAGAAGGAGCTAAGTAGGTTACTCGGAAACGAAACCGCACGTCTTCTTCCGCCGCTTTCTTCTTCTGCTTCAGCTTCGTTTCGAGCGCGCAGCAGCGCCGCCCGTAGCGATGGAAACGGTAACGTTGCACTGGCGACCACCGAGTTACATGAATACTATCTACAGTATTGATTACTTAAAGGACAATTGTTCATTTGTATCAGCTGCTCATTGCGGAGACAACACCGAACTGTATTGACTGATGCCTTTCCTGCCCTCCAGTGGTGATGGTCAGGAACTGCAACTGCACTGTATCAAAGCAACGATCCAGCTACAGCTTTCAGATATCATATGAGAACCAGTAAATCATCCCGATAATGTCCACATCAGTATCCAAATAAGTAACATGTGATCAATTCTCACGTTTTTTTGTTCAGTCTTTCTGCTAAAGTTCATTTAGCACCAAGCGGAATGAGACTAACCTGCAAGTCACCTGCTTGCAGTCGCAGGTGATTACTGCCCTCTAGTGGTCATAGTGAGACACGTCAAGTTAAATTCCTTGCGTCAATATATTGATACCTCTTCTGATAAATGCATAAATAATGTGGACTGAAACAAACAGAAACCAAATTACAGAAATGATCGTGAAATAATGTTTGTTATCCTTTATTGGTCACTGTAGATACAACAACTCCACATTCTTTAGGGGGAATAATACAGGTATATGTACTTTGATCCGTCATAAATCTTTAGTATCAACAATTGTTTTCAAAATAAATGTTTGTTAATGTCACTTATGGTGAATTTAAGAAACAAGGTTACCAAACCAAAGCAGGGGGGATATAATTATACACACATTGTCATTACTTAAAAATGTATTTTCTTTTCCAATTTTTTTATTTAGTATTTTTATTACCTTTTTGTTTTTTGTTTGACATGACAAAAACAGCCATAAACCAAAACTCCAAATGATCTCTAAAAGTATTTTTTAAATGTGCATTAGACAAGTTGTCTACGTGTCAATACGGTGGAGGTTTTGTGTGCGCCCATATGTAGTTATAGTATGGTTATTTATAAATAAATACTGCTAATTTCTACAAGTTTTACACCACTCAACAGAAATTTTATTTCCAATTCAGCAAATGATTAACTGTCTTCAAAAGAGTGTATTCATATACATTATGCAAAGAAATGCTACTGATGATAAGAGAATAATTAATTTTACAAAGCAACAGTCTCTAGGATCCTTCATTTGGCTCAGAGAATGAGACTACATTCACTGTTGAAACAATCAGTTTTAAATAAATACATAATGCATCACAGCAAGCAGCCAAGTTTGTAATTTTTCATCAACATAGTGCATACAACATCAAATCTGATAACAGTGACAACTGTCAATAACTATAATGATAATGGCAAGATTGAGCAGAAGCAATATAATTTACAATCAGTGCATGCTCTAAGCATTATGACATTCATGTCCTCCCCTTTTGCTTATACTCTATGTCATGTGACACTGGGTGACAATGCACTCCTGATACAGCGAAGAATAAAATAAACTGCCTTTGTAAACAGTTTTGCAACAACAGATGAAACACGAAGGGACATTAAATTATTTAACATTATATTTTGGCACTGAATTTTCATTACATAAATAATGAAAATATATAACCTCCCACCACCATGTATAATTGTATACTGCATATGAGGCTTTTATATATAATTTTGTATATATACCAACCTCAGGCATTATTAAGTCAAGTATTTACATTCAATTTGTGTGTGTGTGTGTGTGTGTGTGTGTGTGTGTGTGTGTGTGTTTCACAAAGAGAGAGAAACCAAGTGAGGAAGAGAATAAACAATGGTGTTGATTTGACACTCCTTCTCATTTTGGAAATTTTGAATAATTCTTCCCCTTCTACTGTAACACATTGTGAAATGTAACACGAGCCACTACGAATAATTAAAAAAACATTCAGTGAGAACTGAATGCTCATAACTGTAACTTTTGATAGTTACAAATAAAGTATTGCCAAGTTCTCTAACATTTCGGCTCCATAATAATTTAATTCAAAAAATAAATAAATACATTTTCCTTCACCTTTTTTCACCTTAGTCCTCCCAGAATGTTGGTTGTTCTTTGTTATCAATTCCCTACCCTTCATAAGGCACCAGTCCTAGCGATACAGTTTGACCGTGAAGAAGGACCCACGTTTGGCAGACCAGTGAATAAGTGACTCAAATCAAAATAAAACACTACAATTTAATAAACCAGAGGTACAGTGATCGTTATATCAACCAAAATGAATGATAAAAGGGGAGCGAGGCCTTATGTTTCTAAGGAATTTGTCTTCGTAAAGAATTCAATCTTTCTCTGGTTTTCAAATCTTACCAATACATTGTCTCCTTTAAATGGATACTTCATACTCCCGTGTATCCTGCTGGAAGAGTAAGACATAAATCCCTGATAATCAGTTCAGACTCCTCATGTTGGATAAAAACACCTACACAAATTAGTCCAAAGTCTCATTATAAATCACAGTATAGATTTGATCTTTTTACTTACCCCTGCCTCATAAAGAGGGTTGTTGAAGTCAGACTCGACTGTAATGGGACTGTAGGAGTGTGTGTGGGACAGAGACTTCCAGAAGAGGGGCTTCCATTCTAGTCTGCATATGCTGTGAGCGAGAAAAGGAATTATACATTATTCTGAAAGGAGGTGAAGAAAAGTCAAATCATTCTATCAAATCAATAGAAGCCTACTTAATAACAAGCTCCCTAAATGTACTCACTTTGTATAGTACATGTAAATCCCTCCAATCAAGAGGATCACCAGGATGATTGGCAGAATTATTGCTAAAGCAATGTTCTCACTCAGGATCTGATGGGACGGCTCAAATGGCACTGACACTGTGAAACAGCCAAACAATCGTCACAACACCAAGCTACGAAATAATCCCTTTTTCTTCTGTTTTATTAACTGTCAAAGAGGTAAGAAAATGGCTGACTAATCTGGAGAAACGCTCACACATTTGCATTAGATGTTTACTATTGAAAAACGCTAGACTTTAATCCCTACATTTGAGAGCTCACAAATTGGAGAAGAGTAAAGAAATCACCTTGTAATTTGTGATCATCCAAAAGATCATCATATGCCACTGTGTGATATGAAGAAAAGAGAAAGAGAGGTGAAACGGATGATTATAAATTCTACCCACAGTGCAGACTGGGAATATTTAAAGCCTCCATCTAAATAATATTAAAATATTACAAAATTATAGAGAACATAACATGAATATATAACATATGATTGCCCTACAATATTTTTTACAAGATGTGACACTGATAACAATGGCAACAAAAAATAAACTTTAGGATCTAGACCTACTTTCTGTTACTGAAAGCACAATACCGTCATAATAAAAATAAACGTTCAAATAAAGGTTGGGGGAGACAATGAACCTTCACCTTTGCAGAAGGGCGGAGGGCTGTTCCACTGAGAGGGATGGCCGGGCACGCAGCTGATAATGACCTCGCCGATAAGTTCGTAGCCCTCGTAACAGAAGAAACGCAGAGTTTCTCCGGCCTGATAGCTGTGCTTGTACAACGTTTGGTAACCGTTGTCGGGGACACCGGGGTTTGGGCACGGGTCGTATTTCACTGCACAGAGCGCACAAAAACACACACACACACGTCTGGCATTAGCAGATCACTCCTGAACGCGCGGCCGCCAGTAAGCGTCGTAGACGAAAGGCACTCACAGACACACTTTGGGCCGCGGTCGCTCCATTTGGGGGTGCCGGTGTCCCGCCCGTGGCAGGAGATTTGGCTGGGACCCTCCAGTTGGTAACCCTGGTTACAAGAGAAACGCACGACCGTTCCGACTGCAAAACCCGTCTCGGGGCGCACAGAGCGCGCTCCGTTGACCACCTCTCCTGGGTCGGGACACTGCTGGACTGCGGGAGGTCGGGGGACAAAGTGGGACAGGGTTTCACGCAATGGCTCCATTGGAGAAACTGTACAGTTAACAAGCGCGTCATGGTGGAGTCAATATCTCAAGGCTTGTCTCACCTTTGACACACGTGGGTGGGCTGCTGCTCCAGGAGAGGTCCCACTGGCAGGTGATGATGTCGGAGCCACTGATGTCATATCCTGGTTGGCACTGATAGGTCAGCACACTGCCCCTCACGGGGGACGAGTGGGACGAGCTGATCCAGCCGAAGTCGATTTGAGGGAGAGTCGGGCAGGTGTCGTTTGGCTCGACCTCTGCAGCGCACAGACAGGGAGAAGCAAAATGAATGTTCATTATCAGCTCTTTAGCAATGACAGCCCTCACACGTCCTGGGACACGCCCTAAAGAGCCCGCTAGGTGGGCTGCAGGCTCACAATTCTTCACATTAAGCCTTAAAGGCTGTGACTTTAGCGGTGAACTTACCTCGGTAATGAATGAGGAATCCCTGACTCAGGATGAAGCTGGAATCATCCGGATCGCTCTGAAACTGAATGGTGACTTCGGACCCGCCGGACACGACCTGGAAACGCTCTCTGGATCCCATGTATTGTGCGATCACATGGGACATGAGGTCGCGCCCGTCGAAAACCGTCAGCACGTCAGTGTGGCGGATGTTTAAACTTAAGAAGGAAAGATAAGAGTAACAGAGGGAAATTTCACTTCAGGCAGGTTCCGTTTTTTTCTTTAGACGAGCGGTCCACCCACTTGATGCACTCGGTGCAGGAGACGCAGAGGATTATATAAAATCAACAGTGTGGATCTTATAACTTACATTGTGGGCATATTTATAGAATGATATTTCTGGGTCATCGAAATACAACTTTAATAAAGTCTATTAAAGACAATGATATTGCAAATGTGTCCGAGTGACTAAATGAATGTGAAAACGAATCATGTACTTAACTCACCAACCTATTTTCAGCTTTCCATTAAGATGCTATTAATTCAGGTCATTATTACTGTGTGTAAGTGTGGAATCTCTCCGGCTCAGTGAAAATTTGATACCAGCGATTAAAAAAAAATCTGATAGGTGAAGGGATTGTGTTACTATTTTATCAGGACCACTGTGTCTTTGCTAAGAACTGAACTTAGTCAGTTAACTTGGCAACACTCACATCTGGACGTCCAGCTCGATGCGTTTCTCTTCGTTGCCATGGATCTGCCACACACAGTCCAGCCCCTTGGAGTAGCTCTGGGGCCAATCAGGAGACAGGATGGTCCCCGATGGCTCAGTCAACTCTCCTCCACACAGAGCTTTCAGAAGCAGGAGACATGAGAGAAAGTGAGGCGAGGACGTGAATTTGGAGACACAGCATGATGAGCATAAAGTAACAGACACTTCATCACCGTGTGTATACAAATAAATACCAACCAGCATATGGCTTATAGAACTGCTCTCCGTGAGTTGAAAAAACAGCTCCTGTGTTTTCAGCCAGTGACTCATTGCGAGGTCTGGGTTCTATATCGGCCACAGTCTCTCAGTCTCACTATTAACAGCTTCCAGCGAGTTTGACAGGTGACACAGTCATCTCAAAACAAAACTGTCAGAATATTAACGAAAAACGTTCGGCTGTCTCACTTCATGTCGAAACTTACCAAACTGAATGTTTTAGAAATCTGGATATCTAAATCTGACCAAAGACATAAAAAAGCGCCCGATTTCCGTAATTTATTCAAAAGCCGACCCAAACTCGACCCCCGAAACGTACCTCTGCACACGGGCTCGCTGTCATTCCAGTGAGGGTTGCTGGGGTCGACACACTCAATCGTCCCGGAGCCTTGCTCCATGACAAAGCCGGGAGAGCAGGTGAAGGCAACCGTGGTTCCCAGCTGATACGTGATGTCGCTGCTGCTGAAATTCCCATGAGGGATGAAGGGCTCCCAGCAGTGTTCATCATCAAAAGCTGAAAGAAGATAAATTAGGACACAGTGTGTCCATGCCAAGCAGAGAAAAAGTGTCCCACTATTCCTTAGATCTTTTAGAGTTGCCTTCTCCTATTGGGTTTATTGCTTGACAAAAAGGCTTGAGCTTCTTCAAAGACTAAAATAAATGCCACTGAAGCGTGGGCAGAGTGTAAACAATCGCTGCAAGTAGCTCATTAGGTCATTAGGGACATCTCTAACACAACAATTCAACGAGAAGAAAGCCTTGGTTTTATAGACTGCCCATTGAACCCCATTTCAATACTGAAATAATATTTTAGGGAGAATACTGACACACGTATTCAATATTATACAAAAACAAGGTCTGAAGGATGTACATCGACACACCGTCGTTGTGTTTTTGTAAGTAGTAAATATTAAGGCTGATCCACGCAAAGCCTCTCCGCTCACCCTCGTATCGCAGCGCCAGAAGCAGAGGGATGGAGGAAGAATCGGCCGTGAGCTCCAAGTACAGCGTTGAGCTTTCGCTCAGCAGCCCGCGTTCAGGGACGTCGTCCAGGTCCGAGTCAAAGAGCGGCTGGGACAGGGAACTGTTTCCACTGCGCACAATCAACCTGAGAGGAACAAACCACAGAGATCGCTGACGTAAGCTCCTGAACAGAGGGACATGTCCCGATCAGCGCCTGAATAAGTGTATTGCAGAGTAAAGGCAATCAACAACAGCCAGCATCTCCCACTGGAGTGTAGTATTGTAGTATTTTCTGATGCTTTAATGAACATTTTCATTGAATTAGAAGATAGAAGTTTGTCAGATAAACAAAGAAAACTTTTCTAAACAGTTTTAAACTCAAGTCAGAGAAGCTGATGAAATACACAAAGTAGTGGCAAGCACACACTTACTTGTCATCATCCTCATCCAGTGCAATCCTCTCAAAGTGTAGGTGGAGTCTGTGTCCCTCCTTGGCTTCTATTAACCAGTGGCAGCTCAGGTTATTTCCATTGCTGTGGTTGCCGACAGAAGGAGGCGGAGGAGACAGTATCCGGCCAACTGTTGCATTACGGACCCATCCTCCGCAGGACACAGCTGAGGCAAAGAACGATATCCCACACATCGGTTTACACAATCCACAACCTCAATATTCACTCCGTGACCAAAGACCTGTTTAATTTACCGACCGACGCATTGTGGCTCCGCAGTGCTCCAGTGGGGTTGCGTTGTGTTGACACAAGTAGCCACCTCGTGGCCGCGGACCTGGAAGCCCGGGTCGCAGTGGAAGTGTGCCTGACCTCCGGGATGGATGTCTGTCACCGTCACCCCGCCGCCCACGGGGGACAGGGGAAACGGGCAAGACAGCAGAAAGGCTGTTGATGTGAACAGAACAGAGCGACAATTAGATTAACGCAAAGTTGAGGTTCCCCCCCCGAAAAAAAGGGTTCTGTGCAACCGGATCATACATTTCTAGTACGTCTGACTCGACCTTCACCTCTCGCGTCACCGTCATGATCGTGAGATTGTCAAAGGTCCTGACTGTCCTTCAGCTTGAGTTTAATCCCCACAACCTTCCTCTGTTGCTTTCTTAGATCCTTTTAAATGTTGCACATTCAACATTGTCGCCTACGATACGGAACTCAGTGCTCCTTGACCAAACGCGAACACTAATATCGCAGTTAAAGACTTTCGAAGGTCACTTTCACAGCACATCTGCAATGCTGCTATGCTTAAAAATATGCAAGAATGCAGGTTTTAATTCTGAGCTTTATGCATAGAGGAAACGTTCATTTACCTTGGTAGTGGAGGCTGAACACGCCGTGGTTGCTCGGTTGGAGACTGCGATAGTGAATGTACACCTGATTGGTCGTACTGCGAATCACCTGACCCTCTCTCATCAGGGTCTCATTGGCTAAGAGCTCCGGTGCCGAGCCTCCGTGCCCCATGATTGTCAGAGACTCTTTCTTAGAAAGGTTTACCTTCCTCACCTACCGGGAAAAAAAGAGGAAATACTGTTCTGGCATTTTATTTTTACATTTCGTTTTTGGAATTAACTTGCCAGACAATTTCAGCAACAAAGGATGTAATGACATATACCTATGTGTCTTCTGAAGTGTGTGTGTCTTGGCCAGAACTAACTGACATTCCACTTGTGCCTCATGAGCTTAAACTGTATACATTGCAGCTGACTGACCTTGTTGTTGCTGCATTATTACAATAAGAAACTTACTGCACACCACTGTGAGAGCTGTTTCATTTTCTTTCTATATAGACAGGTAGAGATGATGTCCCTCTTCACATTGCACCAGCAAAAAGTAAAAATGTAATTGAAAAAAGTGATGTATTTTAAGAGCTGAGTGTGGATTCATAGGATAGAATGCACATTACCTGAATTTCCACACCATAACCTGCGTACACAGTAATGCTGTAGGTGCATTCCAGAGGGGAGAAGGATGAGGATACGGTTGCAGGATCTGGTGACTCGACAACATCCTCCATTGCTGACAAAGTTGCATTGCATTGTACTGTGGAAAGAGGGAAATTACAGGTGTCAATATGTACAAGTAATGCTTTATAAATTCACTCCATCCTGGAAAGCTTTAAAAAAAACGTCCATTTTTTACAGCAACAGTAAAAAAAATTGAGTTAAAGCAGTTTAAGAATTTTGATCGAGTACTTTTCTGAGCAATGGGAGATCACACATACACTGTCATAGGAAGTTTGTCTTACCAAATAATATTCAACTGGTTGTGTAATGTGGGCCAATCCCTTAGACTGGATATTGAGGAGAATAACTATTTCATTTGAGGAAAATGTCAAGTATGATTAAATAAACAATATCCGTCCATAATATCCACACATTGTTGTGTATATGTATAGTCACAATAAAAAATAAACCGTGAACTACAGCATGACTGCATGTTTCATCTGAGACGAAGTAGCGTGTTTCTGCCTCGTATTGTTGCAACACGACCTGAGGCCAACAACAACACCAACCTGACATATCACCACAAAGTGGCCACATGCAGTTGTTAGTAACAGTACACCAATGGGTGGGAAAAAGGAAAAGTAATTCCTACAGTGAGCTCTGCCTTCTGTGGGGCTTTGCTGTATTGGATTGCCGTGCATTCAATACCTGAATGAAACTGCTTCTATGCTTTGGTTGAATCTAATTTTTGATCATCCCTTTAATACAAATGGCAGGAGAGGATTTGGCTGACAATGAACAGAAAAAATGATATTAAGTAGTTTAGCTGATTGTGTTAACTGAACATGTACACAAGAACACAATTAAAGGAAAAATATTAAGCTTAATATTAAGCTAATTATGTGCCAGCAATCGGTTAGTTACGTGTAAAGACAGGAAACAGTTGGAAACAGCATATATTATCCTTATATGCCATCCATCCATCCATTGTCAAACCGCTTATCCTGCACACAGGGTCGCGGGGGGGCTGGAGTCCATCCCAGCCAACTTCGGGCTTATATGATAAACATATATTTTAACTTGCTACTTTGAGCCTGTTTCATAGGGGGCTGAATTGATAATTCGTAACAAAACACAATGAAACGCACACAAGCGCACACACACAAACACAACTTGCTGATAATGAATCCGCCCTGACATTTCTAAAAACCACATCTGGTGTAAATAAGCTGATCTACAGTCTAAGTGCTAAATGAAACTTCCTCTGCTCTCATTCGCAGCAGGTGCAGGTGTCTTTCTTTATTCCATGAGCAGAATGAGCAGCAGCTGTAATTCACCTGCAGTGAGCTCCGCACGGTGATGTTGTTTCACTCGCTCCAATTCCGACATGGGTGCCATTCTGCTCCTCACCACTCCCGATTAGTATTCTGGTCATGGTGGACTGACTTATCAAATGAATGCTTCTCCTCTCATGCATTGACATGGCAGCAATAATGCTGACACGAGTTTTCATGGGTTCCCTTGGTTGCTCTGTTCAGCCAATAAGTTGTGTTCTTACTGGCTGATTAGGTTTAATTTGTAGGTTGTTATAATATCTAAAACACAAAGAGTTTCTATTGCCTTTTTTTTGGGTTCTACAACTTTTCATTCGACACTCTGAATTAAGAAAATACCGATAGCAAATGTGAAGCGTAACAACTTGAATGCCGAATGTATCACATGTTGGTAAACCAAGGTGATTTCATGCTTTGGGTTAGTGAGTGAGATAGAGGAGAAGAGATGCTTTCATTGACTACTTTCAACAGGAAAGAAGGAGAGCACCTCATTTTCAGCACAATTCAGTTTATACTCTCAGTTTCTGAAATTGCCAGAAATGTTTCCATGCCGACAACGAGCGGTGCAAAGAAGGATCTAAAATCAATTATAGATAGTGAATATGTTACATAATGCCATTTCACATTATTTGAAGGTAGCTCCATTGACTACATATCTGTATTATAAATGAGCGTCAAGTCAGTAAAGTTGGGTTAGGTAGCAGTGTTGCAATTTTCTAATAATGAAAAGTACACGATCAGCTCGTTCTTTACCAGTAACTCACATTATGCAGTCACCACCTGTTCATGTATTATCATCAATATCTAATAATTTTCATGTTACCTTGTCAGTCAAGAGCTGAGTCTTAACGGGAGCAAAAAGGATAAATCTGAGCAGCTCGAAAGCAACTGGTGAAATTCTGAATTATTTGCTCAAGCATCTTACAATCCAACAGACTTCCATAAACGTCACAGATTCAGAGGAAGCCCTTGGGGGGGTGGGGTGGGGGCATACCTGGCATGTGCATTGTGGTTATGGTGGTCGTGGTAATCAGGGTGGTGGTTGTCTCCTCCTCTACGGGCAGCGAGGACATGGCGTTTCTGGATCCTTTCCGGCTGGCAGCAGAAGAGGAGCTCAAAGCTGTTGTGAGGAGCCCCGGTGACATGACGGTTGCTGTCGAGTCGGTCTGCCCGAGCCCAGGAACAGCCTGGGTCGGGTTGGTGGTGGTACCTGCAGAGTCCGAAAGTCCATTTCAGTGTTTCCTTTTCAATGGTTAGTGACCTGAACTGTTCTTCAGGTGCATTAGGCCCAAAAAGCGGTGGTGGCCTGTATAAATGTACCTGTGCTTGCCGGAGCGTCTCCTAAGTATTCTTTGCTCTGCAGGGCAGCGTGGATCAGATCACCCAGTGGGTAAGAGTCTGGGGTTGATGTCGGCGGTGTATCAGGCTCAGGAGTCACAAAGCTCATACCTGAAACAGGAAAACTGCTTTTGTTATTTCTGGTAACTAGGAATGAAAACATATATATTTAGTAGACAATGGCAAGCAAACACAGAAGATATATATTTTAAAACGTAGAGGTAAATAAACAAAGTCTGCATTGGTCAATGTTTGTGGTTGAACAACAAAGGGACATACTTATACAAAAAATAAACATACGGTACCTGAAACTAGGTGGATCATGGTGACAGAAAGCACTACAGCAAGGCGTTTGAACCCCATGGCTTTGGAGAAGGTAAAGAAGGCAGATAGATTAGCAAGCTGTTAGGATGTAATGCAATTACAACAATTATTATCATTCAGTCGCTATTACTTCATTATAATGAATGCAGGAAATAATCAATGCTGACTTAAGTGCTATTTAGGACAACATTATCTGTCATATCATTTGAAACACTCGCATTTCAGTTAGACTGCAGAGCTGATGTTTACACCACGCAGGCCGCAATTACTAATATAATGTTATCACTGCGATGTGATTCCGTAGAGGCTCAGCACATTCAATCTGGTAAATGTGTATTAAATTCATACAACGAAAGAGCGAAAATGTAAAAGAAGCCATTTTCACAGAATCGCACACGGTGTGAGGTTAAATATTCATGCTTTCCGCTCTGCATTTTCTCGCACAAATGTGCAATAACAGACCCGAAAATGCGCTATTCCAAAATTCACCCGAGAAGAAAACCCTCAGCGCAGGTAGCCTCCAAACCGTATTCCATTTATCAACCTGTTAGCGACAATGTGTCAAAAAACACCTCCGCTGTTATTCGAGGCGTTTCCTCGGTAAAAAAAAAAACCCTGGCGTGTGACAAAACGATGGGGCCATACGAGGCAGAATCGCTCGCACATCCCCGGCCCTCTTTGTGCGAAGGACGATTTTTTTTTTTTGTGGCATCAGTCATCAATACTGTGAGACCAACAACCATCTGAGCGCCCCTGAAAGGTTACCTTTATCTTTCACACTGCCTCCTGTCCTCCTCTCCTCGGACTGAATCCTGTTGCTTTAGGCCCCGGGAACACGTCGGGGTTAGCGCTGGTGAGATGCCCCTATAGCTGGCTGCCGTGTGGTTGACGCATTCGGCTGTGATGTGAGGGCATTTGCGTTGGAGCTGTGGCTGTGCCCTAGCGGTGGCAGGTGGTAAGTGCAGCGGCGGCGGCGCGCGGGCGCGCGAGCTCCACATTTAGTCTGTGAGCGCTGGAGGAGCTGTCCCCCAGCACGGTGCTGAAGTGTGCCCGACACGGCGCGGCTCGGTGCATCAAGGTAATCGGAGCGACGCGAGTCGGTCGCTGCACGCAAGCGGGTAAATACTGTATGTTTGCTCGGTTAAGGGCGTGCATGTGCCGTGTGCATGGCGAATCCCACAGTGCAGTGGACGTTCGCTCTAAGATGGAATGCGGACATTAAATATGAGCCAGCTGAGCTGTGGGGGCCGGCGCAGTGCAAAAAAAAAAAAAAAAAGAATGCTGGAGCGATTGAAATAACAAGCGATGCAAGTCCACAAATGATGGATTCAGCTTGCGTAACCGTGCAGCAGATTGTAGCGACACAACGCATGTAATTGTTGCCACCCCAAATGTCATCGCCAGAATAAACATACTAGGAAAGAGCCCCCCCTCTCTTAATACGCACAAGTGCCGTTCACACACATGTTCTTTGAGGGTAACAGTTGTCGCACGAGGTCCGAATATTAATACGGTCTTATTAATTGGTTATTTGCGGGCAGGCGTGAAGCAGGGGTTTTAAAGGGTAGTTCAATCGTCACTATTTAAACGATGATGAAATGCAAATACCGGGATAACCATACGACTGTTGCCTTATTTTGACGGTTAATACCTTATTCTTCAGTTTCTATTTGAAATAATCTTTATAGTATGCTCGGACAGCCAAGTCATTTTGCAGCCCCATAAAGAGCCTAAAAAGTTATGAGGCTCCTCCAAACCCACGGCCTGTTGACCGGTTTGGAGTGAGTCCCAGAAGCTCCTGTTTCTTCTGCCCGCAGTGTAATGAGGTGCGTTTTCATCGGTAGGGCGCCTTATTGCGTGGGAGGGCCGCCAACTGACCCCGGGGCCACGCACCTGCCTGAAGCCTTTGCTCGGCGTTGGTGGAATCCCCACTCAGAGATTAAGAGAAGTTCTGAAAATTAGAATATACCATTGTCACGCCAACGCTTGCTTTTCTCTCAACTCTCTGTTTCATATATGAAACTCGTTTTCATCTCTCTGAATTATAATGTTTTATAATTATAATGTTTTTAATTGATAATAATGTTTATAATATATTATTTTTCTAATCGGAACAAAGCTATTGATCCCACTCAGGTCAACCACAAGAAAAAGAAAAAACAGCAAAAACATGTATTTTTTACGAAGAAAAAAAAGATTCTGAACAAAAGCAGGTTACCTTTTCCGGTTAACCATATTCTCTCCTCTATTAGGTTTTGCATTTATTACAAAAACCATTGTCGATTCCTCCTTTCACACGTGGAGCCCTCTTCAAATCACACATCTGGTCAGAGTGTGATCAGAGTTTTCCCAATGTGTATGTTATAATGATGAGAATCAAAACTGTCAAGTTGCTAAGCTTTAGACTAACGACAGAACAAACGTACATACATGTTCTCCTTTATGCAATGCTAGAATGCAATAAAAATAGTTATTCCTCGGTATCTCACTATGATACGCTTTATATTATATTAGACGTAATTTACATTCTTAGGGAGCAACTTCACAGGACTGACGGGTGATTTCATTTCCTGCTTGTAAATCTTTAGCTGCCTCCGCAGCTACTTTGCTCGCTCGCTCCATACATAATCCCACAAAGTCAGTGACTCAACTCAACCAAGGGTCAGTGGCTCTGTGATTATCCTAACGGATTCACGGATATCTACCAAGATCATGCTTGGATAGGCCTCGGCTCCCTGTGACCCTGAAGGGGATTGAATCCAGGAAAGTCCATTCCCTTTGGGCTGTGATGCTTTGCCAACAGAGCCTTACGTCTCACAGTGATCTGTTCAATTTAGAAAATCCCTGTTTTGGATTGTAGAAGTGAACTCTTCTAAAAACAATGAGTCTAAACCAGTAACAATCTATTTAAAAAAAAATTAATTAAGGTTTGAACATATTTCATGGCATTTTGAGATATTACACCCATGCATTACCATAATCTCTCCATCTGTTTTCTATTTCAGTTTATTTTTGTCTCACCAGTTCAAAGGATGCACTGGTCAATGAACACACTGCTGTTGCCGCCATACATTGAGCTGGGCGTCCATTCTCTCAGTGGACTCCTGTGGACATTCCTGCTCCTCTTTCTGTGGCACTGTTATCGAATGGGCTCCGACCTGCCCATGCCAGGCCACGCACACGGGGGAAAGCTCAAGTCAGGCTCCAGGCGGTCCATGATGACCCGCGGCGGTAGCTGTGCTGGAACTAAATCCAGCGCACGGTCAAAGCTTTTGAGAAGTGATCAAATTACTCCCTTTATTTCCATGGAAACAGAGGAGGATGAGGAACAGGGACAGGGCTACCTCGCCCCGGTGCTGAGTCATGCCTTGTTCCCTGGCCAGGCATCTGCAGAAGCCAAGAAACGGTATGAAGCACTGCAAGAGTACGCCAAGCGCTACAGTTGGGTGGGCATGGGCCGCATTCATAAAGGCCTCCGTGAGCAGGTACCCGCTTATTCCATGCAGGCCATATACATGCATACATCATTACCAGTAAATGTGATGTTCATCTGATGTATTTAATCATTTAATACAGTTTCACTGTGGTCAAAGGTTTATTTTCCTTATACAAAGTAGTTTAACACTTCATCTGGACACTACTTTGGTCCAAGGGTAAATAATTAGGGAATGAATTATTGAGGATGAATAATTCCAACTTTTTCCCATTTAGGTCAGACTGAACGATCTCTCTGCCATACAGAAGCCTCATCTCTTCTTCTTGCCTGACGTCCCGAGTGTTCCTTTCTTTCCCCGAGATGCTCATCGACATGACATTGAGGTCTTGGAGGCAAACTACTCTGTTATCTTTGCGGAATTCAAGGCTGTGTACCAGAGAGGCATCGACTCAAAACAAGGCTGGACCAGTCTGGGACCAAAGGTGCACAGAGTCTTTCAAGCCTACCACGAGTAAAGGGACAGTGCAAAAAACGCTTCTCTATAAAAACCTTCACTATATGAAAAGTAGCGTGAAGTTGATAAAATACAACAGTATACTCATTTGTTTTTTTCAAGTTTCTAAATCACTTCCATATACATAGACTGTTTAACATCAAGAGATCTCCAGTTTGTGCTGGCCAGTAGTGTCCCCTGTTTCTCCATTAAAAACAGACTCTAACTCAATATTTTTCATTGTGATGTGGGTGTCTCATCTAAGACACGAGTAGTTGTAAATCATTGTGTGTTTCAGGGCCATGCAGTGTTCCCTTTGTACAGTGCAGGTGTCTCTGTGGCAGCAAACTGTCGCTCCTGTCCGCGCACCTACCGGACGCTTCTCTGTCTACGCACGTTCATAAGCAGCAACTCATTGGGATCTGCTGGATTTTGGCTGTTGGGGCCAGGAGCCACGTTGGGGAGCTCATACGGACCCACTAATACGCGCCTACGTTGTCACCTTGGTGAGTAAAAGGATCGGCAACACAGGCATACAATGCAGTTTGTCACACATAGAAAACCTGACAAAACAAACTAAAAACTGTACTGTTTTTTTTTAATATGCATTAGGAGGAACAACAGCAAGGGAACAATTCTCTGAGCAGATGTGATGGCTAGTATCAGGGAAAACATTGTGGTTAATCCGCATTTATCAAAGAAAGGAAGAAAAATACTAAACTAAACTATTACATAATGTGGGTCAGTGTTGAGGTTAATTTCTTAGATCATTTTGCACTGTGATCCGTCTGTCTATAACCCGCACTGTTTTAAATACAGGCAGGAACTCGGCTTTATTGGCTTAGTGAAACCAAAGTATCTAAATGACAACAGCATTTAGAAAAATCACTTTTGCAGGTCTGCAGACCCCCCCCCTGTGTGAGCTGGTGGTGGGAGGGGAGCCTCAGTGCTGGTCAGAAGGACACTGCCTCCTGGTTGATGATTCGTTCCTCCACACCGTCTCCCACAAGGGTTAGTGAATAACATACTGTTTTGAAACATTTAAAAAATATATTTTACTGTAATTTATTTTTTGTATTTTAGTTATGAACAAGCAAACAAATGTACAATGCGTGATCATTGTGAATACAACAAGTAGCAACTTCTTATTTTATTTCACGAGTTGTTTCAAGCAGTTCAACATTTACCTAAAGTTGTATACATGTCTACTTTTAAAGGGCCTTCAGAAGCTGGACCGCGTGTCATTTTGAGTGTGGACCTCTGGCATCCAAACGTGGCTGCAGCAGAGAGACAAGCTTTGGACTTCATGTTCAGCCCTGACCTCTGAATTTGTTCATGCCAACAATACACAACATGCCGGCATGCCTTACCTTAGCCCTGCTTGTTGTGGGTCATCTATCTCTATTTCCAGTTGATGAATCACTGTGTGAATCGGCCTTAAGAATTACACAGAATTTGTGTAAAAAATTACACACGCTATTGTGTGGATTGGTATAATACCACTAGAGTGCATAATGCCACTAGAGCGCATTATGCCCACGAGAGCGGATTATTGTGGACAATATTAGACTTACATCCGTTACGATAATAAATGCTAGACAGTTTGGCTGCAGACTACAAGCTGACATCACTTATAAGCACAAACATATCTAAACTACAAAAGTCTGGTGTTAAAAAATATCATATCTTGATATAATACACTGTAATTGTGAATATTATTTGCATGTGAAGCCAGTTTGTCCTGAATGCTGGAGTTTGTTTTAAGCAGCTGATGCATGTGCACGAGCGCCTGGGATCAGCCAGGATGATTTATTTTGAAATAAAGTAAGATAAACTCAACCAAAATACTGTGAAAACATGAAAATCATATACATTACTTTTGAATGCCAAATATATACAAACCTTTGCATACTGTGATGATTCTTTATCTTCTTATTACCTCTATATATGCTGGTATTTTTGTGTGTGTGTATATTTTTGTTAATTCTGTTTTGCTTGGAATCCAAAAAACAAAAAAAGAACAGATAAATCGGTATTGGCTCAGTGTAGGGAATAAAAGGGTAATATAGTAATACATGTGTGTGTGTGTGTGTGTGTGTGTGTGTGTGTGTGTGTGTGTGTGTGTGTGTGTGTGTGATACACTACATATGTATCAGGGCTGGTTGCTTTGTAGGGGTCAAATTATGCAATACAAATTTATCTTTAGCTAATAATTACTATTCAAGAATATTGTTCTTTTATTAGAGAAAAATATTCGGACTATTTGGCTTGTTAAAAGATATAATAAAATAAAATGTAACATCATTCATACGGAAATGGCAAGAAAATTGTCCGTTCAATTGTTTGGGGGATAATAAAACATGTAGGGAATATGTCTTTTCAGAATCAAATATCATTCTAAAAACACATTCTGGTTCATTAAGCTCTTTTTATCTGTTCGAAGGAGAGTTACGTTTTTCAGTCACTAGATGAGAATTAGAGTAGTGATTTTGTCTTATCTGCCATCTGTTCATCCATGTTAAGGATTACAGCGACTGGACTAATCCACCACATAGTAACAGATTATTCCTCTAATTCTTCATATGTAGTTGTATGTACTTTGATTCAATGTACGATTTGTTCAACACTTTATTCTAGTGACATGGGTCAAGTAAATACAGTCGAGTAAAGACTATTGGCTTCCAAAATGTAGTTGAGAAGAGGTACAAAGTACCAACAAATAGAAGTATGGAGGTCTGCTTTCACACTTTAGTGAGACAGAAGCACGAGAGGTGAAGAAGTGGCAGCAGAGGACACTCATCCACGCTGAGATCATGTTCTCCAGGGGTCACTGGGTGAAGCCCCTGCCCCACTAGAGGCGTAGCCAAACGGTAATTTCAAGGGGTCACTGCTCATTCATATCGTCCTTTGGATCCAATTAAATCCCAAGAGCAGCATGATGGAGCAGCTGTTGTCATTTTAAACACCCAATAAACCCTTGAAAAAAAAATCGGCTGTCCATGCGGACTGGAGCTTGGGGAAAAGGCATGCAACTAATTATATAGTCGTTATAATTGTCCCACGCTGCTCATACATTGTTGTCTACTTCAAGGTACCACAACACAGTGACAATTGTTAAAACTCTTTTCTTGATTTGTTGTGACTCTCTACACTTCAGTTTCCTACTTAGCTGGATAAGGCAGACCTCTAATTTCACGCATTCATTTGTTCTTCATCACTGAACAGTTTTAAATGATTTGTACACTGGGCTCTTGACGACAACAAACATTTTGCTGAACTTGAATATCAACTAAGAGAGCCAGCGTGTTCCTCCACTCTCTACTCCCTTCCCAAGCACGTCCGAGAGACGTCGGCCTTCAGGCAATTCAATTCATTCAATTTGTTTACCGATATTATGTGCATCAAATTGAACAAAAAAGGTCAAAGCGCCTTTACTAAGTTTTAATTAATGAGGTCAACGTGATCGCGTGTGAGGCGGATGCCACATAAACAACAGGAAAAAAACAGTCAAATAGTTCATAAGAAGCAGGCTAACGTCAGTGTAATTAAACACAAAGGAATCCACTCCATGCACAGTCAAACATTCCTCGTGTTGTCCTTATTTCTGCGACATCATCTTCACAAACTCTGTAAAGAGAATGGGCAAGCTATTGTATAGTTACACTCTTTAGTAGGTTTACAGCAAACTGAGAACAACAAATTCAGCTCCCCACATGTACTACTTTCAGCTCTGGCACTGAAAAAAAATTACAAATCTTTGAGAGAATCTCATGAATCTCTAGACAACAATCAAAAATGTATTATTTTAAGTGTAGATTCTTTTCATGGCATGTATGCAATTTGTAAGAGCAGTAAAATAACAGATCTCAAGTGTCTTTTGCTGAACCCATTTAACAGCACTTTCTTTCTATGTATGACTAAATATTATTGATTCAATTTATATTACTTCAATTCCTTTGTTTGACAGAGCAGCTCAGCGAACTCAACATTTAGAAAGCAGAGGATAATGCCAGGCTTTATAATCATTCTAAATCTGTTTGTGTGTGCATGAGGTTGTGTGTGCTTGTATCTCACCCTCAAAGTCAACTTTTCCATCTCCGTTGTTATCTGCTTCTCTGACAACTGCATCAATTTCGGTTTTACTAGTTTGTTCTCCAAGTAGCTTTATTATGGCCTGTCTTAGTTCATCAGACGTGATGGCACCGTCACCATCTAAATCAAACTGAAAAAAACAAACCAAAAAAGTTACAATACTTCAATACTTCAATTCAGACTTCTATTGCAAGCATGACTTAGTGTTTTGCCAGATTTAACTTTTTTCTAAAGTACGACGTCTGGCAGAGTCCTTTATTATCCACCACGGGGTGCCAAAGACCAAGAAGAGAGAATGCGCATACAGCACTCACCTCTCGAAATGCGTCTTTAAGTTCCTTCACGCCAATCATCCCTGCAGTTTCAGCCAAGAGCTTGGGGCTCATTAGGTCCACAAAATCCTCAAAGTCCACCCGTCCCCCCACTGTGATGAGACAAATGAGGTAAATTGACTTATGAATAACTATAAGCAGGAATTGGTTGGAGAAGCAAGTTTGAGTGCTATGACACCATTCGGAATCCCACAAAACAGTGCATGCTTTTGGATCATTCACATAGTTCGTTTCACTCTGCTGCACACGGGAAAACAATTCTGACCATATACGCAAGAACATTATTGGCCCTTCCTTTAGCCATTAATCTTCTTAGTTTTAGATGACTTCATTCAAAGCTCGGTGGAGTGGAATACTTCATGAATGTGCATCAAACTGTCAATGTTAAAAAAATAACGAAGATGATATCTGGGGTAAATAATCAAGAAGATTTTTGTGCACTGCCTTAAAATCTATGTGACCCAATAATTCATGTGATTATTCCTACCAGAAAGTGGTTCACTAATTTTGAAAAAGAAAATGTAAATAAGTGTCTCAGGAGACCGATGTTAAGAATATTATGAAATACACATTTCCTGAAACAAACCAAATCGGCCCTTGAGATCAGTTCATCTGCCAAACATGACGAGCAGTAATAAAGCGTGCGTGGAGTATAAATTTGAGGACATTACTCACAATTCATGTTGATATTCTGACTGAGTTGTATGAGCTCCATTTCAGTCGGCATGTAGCCCATTGTCCTCATCAGGTTCCCCAAGTCCTTACAGGTTATGAAACCGTCCTTATCCTTATCAAACTCGACAAAAGCTTCACGTAACTCTGAGGAGCACAGTCACACGAACAATGAGATGCTGTGTGACAAGACATTTGAAAAAGTGAACAGTATTATGCAGCACTTAAACGCGTAAATCAGAAAGCATAAAAACTATCCAGAGAACAGATGTTACCTCCAATCTCCTCTTTCGTCAGCTCTCTTGTCTGGAAGACAATAATCAAATGTGTGAATCCGGAATGATTTTAGTATGTTTTATTTACGACAAAATATACAACTAGTTTTATATCCACAATTATCTACATTGCGTCAGGGAGATACCTCCTAAAAGCAGCATGCATCAATATAAAGACATGTATTGCGTGTGAATTATAAACACTCTGTGTAATAAGCAAAAGTAAAACACCTGACATTTGCAGAATGACAATGCGTGTTGCGCCTAATTGTACCTTTGTTTAATTTGTCACACGGTTTCCCAGTTTTTCTGGTTTTCTGATCATAACATCATCCACATTATGTTATGTGATTTATTATTTACATTAAGTAAGGTGTGATTTTAATATTTTGCTTTGTATATCATAATTTTTATCATAATCATGATCGAATTTTTAAGCTTTTGTTCATTCCTGAAACATTATGGTTTTGAATTCATATCAATGTGGAAACATTGGAAAAACACATATACCTTCTCCTTTTACTACTTGTTTACTACTTAATCTGTTGAGCTTTACTGTCGTTGTCCATAGCTGGGATTTATGTTTCTGTGATATTACAGACATACATTAAAAGAAGCGAGGAAACAATGTGCGGCCATACTTTGCAAATGAAGCGGATTCTTATCTCTGTACACTCTGTCAATAGGTTGACATTAATCTCCAGACACGTTACTGTTTTTCTGCCTGTAACATGTAACATTCTTGTTGCTGGTGAAAATAAATGCAACCAAGTGCATCCAGTGTAAATATGTTTTCCTTTTCATTTTAAAGGTTGTGTTTTGATTGTCATTGTTTTTGCCTAATCTTAAAAAGTGTCCATAAGGATATTATTATTATTATTATTGCCCCTTTTGCCATTATTCAGAAATAACGAAATAACTGGGTGTTATTTGCTTTCTAATTGATCAAAAGATGATATTAAGATCTGTTTTCCTTGTAAAACACAAACAAAGATAATCATGATGTATAAATATATTTAATGAAATTTGAGGATCAGAAAGACATTCAGCTAAACGCTAAAATAACAAACAAGATAAAACTGTCGAACCATAAAATCATTTTTGACTTACGCGTCTTCTTGTTCCACCCCTGAGAAAGATGCAGGCTTGTTTATTACTCATGATGGCCGTCGTCGAGATTGTGGCTACTTGTGTTATTGAATTTATTTTTTAAAAGATTATGTGTTGCTATATGATGCAGTTTCTTTTTTTCCTCTGCGAGCCTGTGCCTGTGCGTAAAGCGTAACCAGCAGTGGACTGCGTACGCCAGAGAGCAGAGATGGAGTCCCATATGGATTATCTCTGCAGCTTTGGTCCAGAACAGCAAGATAAGCTTAATGCTGTATATATGCACAATTTCATATGGAAAATCCAATATTGTTTCTATTTTTAATAAAGCTGTTTTTCTAACCATCAAGATAAAATGCATCCAAAAGTCATAAAGAAGAATATTTGTAATTTAATACTGGTCATTGCCCGGTTGGTCAATTGGTCAATACTGGTCATAATAAAATATCTATTTCACGTAAATGTGTATTTATTTTGAAAAAGGAAACCAATAGTTAAGGGTGGCCAGAGATTGGTAGAACATACATTTAATTTGAGAGGAAATGTTATTGTTGTGTAGATTTGTTTGACTCTTCATTCTGTCAAGTGGGGCAAGTTGAGTAAATGACTGTGTGGATAAAGCTGTGTATCCATTACCAACAAACAAAATGAAACAGATTACAACAGATGGGAATGTGAAGAGGGAAATACATCTAGAATTAATAGGATTGAGAACCACATGCCTATGAAAGCAATGGCTATCATTGTATGTTGTCTACTAATCCCAGCAAAAAAACTGATTACTGACAGATGACCATTAAAATGCACTTGCAATACTTTTTACAGAACTCTTTTGTAAAACCCTTTTCAATGAAAGTGGCATCCCCTTCAGAGAAACATCACCCGTATGCTTGAAATATTCAAAGAGTGGAGCCTTTTCTAAGAAACAACGTCACAAATAATTCAGTAACGTGATGACATTTTAGAAATGTTGTGGAGTTGGCTTGTGTTTACTTGTAACCCTTCTAACCCTTTGATTAATGTATTTTAGTAAAGTGTTCCGGCAGTTTTTGTCCTCCATCTGTCTCCTTCCTCTTACAAATTATTTTTCAGACAAGATGTTGCGGTTTGTGACTTCCTCTTTTCTACGGTTTCTACCAACACGGGCTCTTCTATAGCAATGTAGGCTAATGGTTAATAGTACTCACATCTGTTATTTCGTTAGGCAGGTGTGATGTTATATTCCCGTTATACTATATTTAAACTTTAGTACAATAAGAAATTGTAATGGTTAAAACATTTTTAAAGGAGTAAAACTAAACACTGTAATAAGTTGTCTACTTTTTGGTTTAGTTTTAATTATTTGCAATATAAAAGAGCACTTTCATTTACATTATTTAAAACATGCCAGCAGATGTGTTTCCTCTTACCACGGCCATCGGTTATTTTTGCATGTCTCAGGTTTCACTTCCTAAATAACTCATTTTTCTTGAAGCTCCATGTTTCTCTGTATGTCTGTGGCTTCAAATGGCGGATATTCAAATACCGAAACCGTAAAAGTCTAAAATGCAGCTGCAGCAAATTCCAATATTCATGTAGATGAATTTAGATTATCTCGCTCTCACTTCATTTGTGTAAACTCCAGAACGATAACCATCCAAATCTTGCACTAGCACTTTTGAAATTGCATTATTGGAACTGGTGTATTGCAGGACTTTGAGTGAGTTATGAAATGAATTTAATAAAAAAAAACAAATATAGTTATAGAGTTATATTTTGATTTTGTAAGAAATGAATGTGTATGATGTAATGGAGGCAACACTATCTGAAAGAAATGAGATTTTCCCTTGTGAAGCATTTATTAAAAACATCCCATGACACTGAAAGCATCAGAAGCTCATGTCAGTTTCAACATGCACCTTGTTCTCAAAAGCTCTGCTGCTGCTGTTGGCAGCTGGATGTGAGTTTGTGTCAGTTGTTGTTCTTGACAGAATAACTTCATGATTTGCGAAAAAATCTTTTTTAAAAGGGGTCAAATGGGAAACGTTGACACAGCGAGTGCGAGCAGCTTACGTCACCATCTACATTGATAAATGGTTACTGAACTTCAACAAATACGTTGACTTTCTACAAACTGAGACACAATAACGACTTTACATCATGTGGAATATAAAGAAAGTGTTTTTGGAGTTAATCTTATGTGTGTGTTTCCTGTTCATTTTGACACTAACCCCTCCTGTCTTTTCCGTTCCTGTCCTCGTGTTCCTCCTGATTCCTTATTCACTACACCTACGTTCACCTGTCCACTACCTTCCCTCGTCTCTCAGGTTTCTCTCTGCTCTTGAGTCACTCCGCCGCCCCAGAACCATTACAATAGTGCTATTTATGTGCCCTGTTTAACGCAAATTAATGAATAAAAAATGAAATAATCTGTACTCATGTACTTTAGAGTCAATCATGAATGGTGAAAGGCACCGGCACAAGAACAGTTGATATAATACTTGAATTTTATTTAATAATTTGAAAACATGCAACAACTTATCTTTGTTTGCAGTTATAAAATAATTGAGAGTTTCTTAATTGAAAAAAATTAAATTATGAAAGTCCAACTGGCTCCAGTTGGACCAACGTTGAAGTTTCATATGTGTGATCCCATGCAAACTCAGGGAGCTTCCTTGTTGGTCAGCTATAAAAACATCCCATCAGTCTGTTGAGTTCACAGCTCGTCAGTTTCAACATCACCATGTTCTCAATAGCTCTGCTGCTGCTGTTGGCAGCTGGATGTAAGTTCCTCTTGATTCATTAGTCATTCGTTCTTCTTGTATAACTTGATAATAAAGAAAAATCTTTTTTTAACAGGCTTTAAATGTGAGCAGTTGACGCAGCCGGCCTCTGTGACTGTGCAGCCCGGTCAACGTCTGACCATCACCTGTCAGGTTTCTTATGCTCTTAACTACTGGACAGCATGGATCAGACAGCCTGCAGGGAAAGGACTGGAATGGATTGGAAGCAAATATACTGGAGATTCATACTACAAAGATTCACTGAAGAGCAAGTTTAGTATCGACTTAGATGCTTCCAGTAAAACAGTGACTCTAAACGGACAGAATGTGCAGCCTGGAGACACGGCTGTGTATTACTGTGCAAGAGACCCACAGTAACACAAACCATCAGTACAGCTGAACAAAAACCTCTCAGTGCCTGAACACTTGTAACACAAAGCCACCAGAGGAGGAGTCCTCAGACCACCAATGATTTCACCACCAGCTCACTGTGACATCAGTTTAAATACCTACACGTTACAATTACTAATATGCAAATCTATATATTTCCTAATGAAAAGTTGATAAAACGTTTATTAATTGGCATACATTGAATTTTACATGCAATAAAAATGATTTCTTAGAGTTTTCTTGTTGAGTTAGACGCTTAAGAACCAAAACTTAGCATATTTTCTAAACCAATGCATGAAATTTCTATTCCTTATCATAACAAAATCCCCAACTTTGAAAAGTATGTCACTGTCTTTTAAAATTATATGTCTGATATAAATGGAACATTATATGAACACATCTTAGCCACTTTAATATAACTCATATTTGACAACTAAATTAGGTCACCTTATAAAACAAAATAAGAACATTTTATTGCTTTATTATAAGTGATGGCAGCTTTATTAGTTAAAACATTTTAGTTCACTATAGATGTAAATATAAACAGCTGGAAGACTGAGCTGCTGTTTAGTCTTTTTCTTATGAGACATTGTGATGAAAGATGATACAAGATGATACAATAAGACAAACATTTACTTTACTGCTTCAAAAAGCTCTGTATAATAGAGTCTTCATATTTTCTGGATTATCTTGTGTTACATAAGACAGAATCCTCTAAGTGTGAAACATATTCAAATGTTATAAAGTGACTAAGAGTAAAACAAGGACAGAGGACACTGTTCAATCAGAGAGGAGGAGTCAATGCAAAACTCAGATGTCTTTCTCCTCTACTTATGTGGCTGCAGAGAGGAGGACAGAGGACAGTGGACACACAGTTAACCATGAGGGACTTTAGGACAGGACTGCTGCTTTTAACTGTCTTCTGCGCAGGTGAAGAATTTCTCTGATCTTGATTTCACACGTTTCCACTTGCTGTTAACGTAACACATGACATGCATATCTTCTTCTCTTGACAGGTGTTGATGGTCAGACTCTGACACAATCTGAAGCAGTGATTAAAAGGCCTGAAGAATCTCACAGGTTGACTTGTACAACATCTGGATTCACATTCAGCAGCTACTACATGACCTGGATCAGACAGGCTCCTGGAAAAGGACTGGAGTGGATCGCTTACATCAGCACATCTAGTTCTTATATCTATTACTCCCCATCAGTCAAGGGTAGATTCACCATCTCCAGAGATGACTCCAGCAGTAAACTGTATCTACAGATGAACAGTCTGAAGACTGAGGACAGCGCAGTGTATTACTGTGCTAGAGACCCACAGTAACACAAACCATCAGTACAGCTGAACAAAAACCTCTCAGTGCCTGAACACTTGTAACACAAAGCCACCAGAGGAGGAGTCCTCAGACCACCAATGATTTCACCACCAGCTCACTGTGACATCAGTTTAAATACCTACATGTTACAATTACTAATACTCTATTCTATATATTTAAGAAAATTCATAACACGTTTATTAATTGCCCTACATTGAATTTTACAAGCAAGGAAAATATTTTTTTCTTCAGATTTTGAGTTCTACGCTAAGATCTGAGTTTTATTATTATTTATTATTAGGATCCTCACTACGACTTGTCATAGTGGAACCTATTGCATTTATCATTTATCTCTGAAACACCCAGATGATAAATAACCTGAACTTTAGTATGTATCCCACAAAATAAAATACAATCATTTCAGTCAATTATTTGTTTTGCTATTTCTTTTTGTAAATGTCTGACCTGTGCTATATAAACGTGGCCTTTGTCAAAATGATGCTCTGAAGAATAAGTTAATCTCCAGCAGAGACACTTCTGCCTCCAACAGTGACTTTAAAAGGACAGAATGATCAAACTGAGGACACAGCTGTGTGTTGCTGTGTGCGTTATCCCTCAGAGATACAAACCACCAACAGACCTGCACAAGTACCAGCAACCGTGTGACTCACCCACACACTGTCAAACACATTTAAATACATTATGAAGCAGTCTGTGTGTGACTAGTTACTCCCTGAAGGAGACATTGTC